TTGGAATGATCCCCTTCAGCTCTGAGGCCCCCAGGAGCAGGGATGTAGAGGGCCTGGTGTCCTACCTGGGAAGGGGCAGCAGGTGGGCAGGCCATCACTGAACATCATGAAACCCCTCTAGGAGACTCCTCACGGAGTTCTGTATGAGCAGAGCAGTGAGGGCGGCTCACTCTGGGAAGGCTTCTTGGAGGAGGTGGCATTTGAAGGATGGCTATGGGGGTGGGAGTGGGGAGGACAGTCCGGGCGGAGGGAATGGCATGTGCAGGACAGGCTGTGCATTTCATTGATCAACTCCACATTGAGTCATTGTCTTGGAGCCAAGGCCCACGGCACACCACGCCGGGGAAGTAGTGAGCACTTGATAGAAGTGTAACAGAGTGTGGAGGTGGCGTTCGTGTTCTGCACGAACAGAGGGCACGGGCTGGGATCCGACTGTAAAGGGCCTGCAGGCCTGCAGCGTTTCTTTTCAGCAGGAGGGGGCCGCAGGGGAAGCTGGGAGCTGGGGAACGTGGACTTCCGGTTGGACTTCCGGGAGGTGAGACCTTGGCAGGAGACCACTTCCCAAACCTCCCAAACCATGAGGAGCCCTGTCCAGAAATCACTGTTAGGAGCCATTTCTGAGGCTGATGAAAGGATGCAGAGCCTAGCTGGGAAGAATAAGTACGGTTTTGTTATTCGTCTTAGCTTCCTGGAGGAATGTTAGCAGTCAGATGGTCCTGCTCCCTTCGGAGGGTCAGAGAAGGCTGTGGTTGGGCACCCACTGTGAGTGAAACCCCCGCTTCCTGGGCACCCCTCCTGACAAGGCTCTGGAGACGCTGTGCTCACCCCAAACACGCTCTGGTCCTGCAGAGTCCTCACCCCACCCAGGCAGAGCTGGCTGCTTCTGCCTCTGCTGGCCAAACTTCTTTCAGGACAGGTGAAGAAGGCATTTGCCTTCACACCTCTTCCTCATCTCCAATACGAAAATTATTCATGGTTAAAAAAAATCCCAGGAGGTTGTGAGCAGGAAGAAACTGTGAATCCTGCCCCACTTCCACACAACGTGGACCATGAAGTCAAGGCCCGGAGATGAAAATCAGAACAGCCTCTTCCTCAACCTCTCCACGTATCATAACCCTCATGGGCCAGATATGTGCCATGCACAGTACATTCATTTTCTTCTGTAAAACCCACAGGACCTCAGTGGGTAGGAACTACAGTCCCCATTTTACAGATAGGAACACTGAGGCTCAGAGAAGTTAACTTGTCCGGAGTTCACTGGCTAAATGAGCAATAGCCTTTGGTGCCTGGCTTAGCTGTTTTGGATTCCAAAGCCTCGCCGTTAATAATCTGTAATAACCTCCTCATGGTATTTATACCATGTGATTGGTTTCCTGAAGCGGCTGTAACAAACTACCACCAACCTGGAGGCTTAAAAAAAAAAAGAACTTCATCCTGGTGCAGTTCTGGAGCTCGGAAGCTCGAGATCAAGGTGTGGGCAGGGCCATGCTCCCTCTGGAGGCTCTCAGATTCATGACCTTGTCTCTTCCACCTTCTGGCAGCTGCTGGCATCCTTGGCTTATGGCCACATCCCCCCAGTCTCTGCCCTCTGTGGCCACATGGCCTTCTCTTCTGTTTGTGTCAAGTCTGCCTCTGCTTCCCTCTTATGAGGATACTGTGATCGCATTTAGAAGCCCTCCAGCTGACCCAGGAGACTCCCATCTCCAGATCCTTAACTTCACACACCTGCAAAGACTTCTCTCAATAAGGTAACTTTACAGGTCCCAGCGATTAGGATGCGGGTATCTTTTGGGGACTATTTTTCAGCTTACCACACCATATATGTTCATTCCTTCATTAATTTGTTCCTTCACAGACCTTAATTGTCTGTGTTGACCATCATGCTAGGAGCTGGGAACTAGGAAATCAAAAGGAAAAGGACATAGTCCCTCAGGGACCCCGTGGTCACTGTGTGAACAGTTACACCTACTTCCCAGAAGTTCTGGGATAAAAGACAGGAGTCAGAGACATCGGGACAGTCACAATAGCTGGCACCTGCTACCTGCAACCCTTCTGATGTGTGCATATTAACTCACTTGACCCTCACAACGGCCTCATCCCCCTCTGGAGGGGGGTTCCACAGTCTGTACCTGTCACCTCCCTGCACAGCACAGGGTGAGGAAGTCAAGGTGAGGGAGGGTGTGGTCAGGGAAGGCTTCCTGCAGAAGGTGCCAATTCCACAGAATCTGGAAGCATAGGAGTTGACCAGAGGAAGTGGGATGTGGGGAGAGGGTAGGAGTGAGGAGATGCCCCTGCACAGGGAGGCAGGAGGAAGCGAGATGCTCCCAAGTAGGGATGAGGAGACACAGAGGGTATTGAGGGCCCTCTGAGGAAAGGAGTTTTGAATTTGGTGTCACTCAATCTTTGGGGAGAAGAACCACAAATCTGGGCTTTGGGCTTGGTGCACCTGGGGTTTGTTCATGCTCAGGTCTGAGGCCCCCACCTCTGCCAGATGGGGTCATTCAGCTCCCCTGGTCTCCTGTTTTGTGGGATCTGATGCCGGGGGCAGCTGTAAGAGCCATTTCTGCAGTTCCTAACAGGGCGGAGCCCCAGCCCTGCCCGTCTCGCCTCTGTGCTGAGCCTGTTGGGTGAGAGGAAATGGGCATGAGCTGACTTTGGAGGGACAAATATGAGAGTCCCAGGGGCAGGCAGCAGCCCCCAGCTTCCACACCCTACCTTTCTTTCCACCAGTGGGCTTGCTGGACGTCCCATAGCCAGCCTCTCCCCCTTCCCCGGATGTCCCTGAGTCTCTTCCTTCCCTTTCTCCTCCATTTCACAGGGCAGGTGGAAAGGGAAGGAATACCCAACTCTTTGCATTCATCAGCTCTACTCTACAGTTGCTTCATAAGGGAGGTACAATCATTATCCCCATTTTGCAGATGAGGAAACTGAGACTCAGAAATGTCAGTATCTTGCCCAGGAGCATCTAGCTAGCAGAGAAGCCCATGCTGTTCCCAGAATACAGCCTTCCCCTTCCTGCTTTCCCACATCTTGGACTCCCCAATCCTCAAACTTACAAGTTTCTCTTCCCAGGAGGTACCCCCAGAGAAATTAAAATCTCAAGGGGGAAAAGGCAGATAAAGGCCAGCTTTGTCCCCTCGTGCTGAGGCTGAAGAGAAGGGAGCCTGGCCCACTATCAGAGAAGCTACATGGCAGCCCCTGAGCAGGGTATGTTCACAGATGAGCAGGAAGACTACAGAAGGGAAACTGAAGTCCAGGGAGGAGAAGCCACACAGCCCATGTGCAGACCTGGGCCCCAGCCCACCCCTGGGTCCCAGTCTGCGTCCCTACGCTGCTCTTGGCTCCTGCAGATGATGGGGCAGGGCCTTATCTCTTCTGGGCAGGGGCTTTCTCCCGACCCACCCTTGGCTGGAGGTCAGGGACAAGAAGTGACTAAGACACATCCTGCCCTGGAGGGGTTCCCAGCATGCTGAGGGGAGATGGGCACCCCACCAGAGAATTGTTGAACTAAGAGGCATCTAGAGGAAGGGAGCAGAACTCAGGCTAACAGGCAAGATGAAGAGCCTTCAGAGAAAGCTTCCTGGAGGAGGAAACCTCTGAATTGAGTTAGAAAACATAAGTAGGGGTGGGCTCAGCCAAGACCTGTGTTTGAGTTGGGGGTAACTAGTGTCACAAGGGCCTGGGTGCTGAGCAACACGGAGAGAGGGGAGAGGAGAGGCAGGCCAGGTCCTGAAGAGCCCCAGGTGGGCTGGGAGTCAGCTAGGGTGGAGGCTCATCTGGGCACTCCTGGGAGAAGGCTAAGGTCCAGGCCTGCAGGCTGCCACCAGCCCCTAGGGCCAAGACTCTGTTCTGGACTCTCAGCTTGAGCGTCCACAGCTGCAAGGAAAGGGTGAGAGTGGGAACCCAGGGGAAAAGCAGGAACCTCCCCAAGGCGTTGGGTGGCCCTGGGCCCTGCAACAGGCAAGTCTGGTGGACAATCCTGGCTTTTCCTTCCTGCTGCCTGCTCTGGACTCCTTTCTGGCCCTTGTCCCAGGGTCCCTGCTCCCCGGCTCTGCACCCTTTACCAGGCAGGAGCTGCCCCAGAGTGCTCCTGAGGAGGCCTGTGCGCACCTAAGCCCAGAGACTGTCCTTTCCGAGGCAGCACAGAGAAGGGTGAGTAGGGGGTCTAGATCCATCCAACTTCAGACTGGTTAGGAATTCTGACCGGGCCTCCCACCGGCTGTGTGGCCTAGGGTAAGTAGTTCAGCCTCTCGGCTTCCTTGGGAGATGAGCGTTAACAGTCGAACCTGCTAGTGTAGGAAACCCCTAGGACATACTGAGCGCTCCGGGCTGCTAGGTACCCCCGAGGGGCGCGGTAAGCGGGGATGGGGTTGGCAGCGAGGTGAGGGGGTTTAGGTAGGATGACAGGCGTGTGGACCCTAGCGCGGGTGGTCGGGGCTCGCGCCTCCTCGCTGACTCCTCCACGCAAGGGCGGGGCCTTCTGGCGGCTTGGATTTCCGGGCGCGGGTCGCGCACCCGCCTTCCCGGTTTCCCAGGGGCGAGACGAGCTCGGAGCCGCCGCGGGACACGGAGTCCGGGGTCGGCGGTGCCGCGCGGGCGGCCGCCCACAGAGGCGCGCGGCTCCTTTTGTCTGCAGCCTCCCCCCTCCCCCGC